ATCGCTATATGCCACCGCATCGCAGATGCTGCGGTGGCATAAAAATAAGAAGTGCAGAGTAAGTTTTGAGTCAATTCTACTCATAGTGATTGAGTTATGCTCCTGACAAGCCTTACGGAATGCAGACTCCAACAACAACGCTGCCAATAAAAGTAACCCCTATATTTCGTCTTTTCAAGGCGACATATAACAAGAGCACCGCTAGGCGGAGCATTATATGCCCGAAAATGTTTTTTTTTTTTTTTTTAGTAAAGATGAAACATTTCTAAGACATGGGAATTAAATAAAGTTTTACCTCCTTCACAAAACAATCCTCCTTTTAAGTTTCAATATTGTGGTCCAAATGGAACTTAAGTCATGCCCCGGAAACTGTTTTCAGTTCTAAGGTTATAGTGACCTTGACCTTTGACCTTGTGACCCCAAAATCATTAGGGGTCTTCTACCCAACATGGACAATCATACTACGAAGTTTAAACACAGTGGGCCAAATGAAACTTAAGTTATGTTCCGACAACTGTTTTCAGTTTTAAGGTCATAGTGACCTTGACCTTTGACCTTGTGACCCCAAAATCAATAGGAGTCTTTTACCTAATATGGACAATCATCCCATGAAGTTTGAATATTGCGGGCCAAATTGAACTTAAGTTATGCTAAAGAAACAATTTTCAATTTCTAAGAAATAGTGACCTTGACCTTTGACCTTGTGACCCCAAAATCAATAGGGGTCTTCAACCCAATATGGACAATCATCCTATGAAGTTTGAACACTGTGGGCCAAATGGAACTTAAGTTATCCTCTTGAAACTGTTTTCAGTTTTAAGGTGATAGTGACCTTTGACCTTGTGACCCCAAAATCAATAGGGATCTTCTACCTAATATGGACAATCATCCTATGAAGTTTGAACACTGTCGGCAAAATGGAACTTAAGTTATCCTCCGGAAACTGTTTTCAGTTTTGAGGTAATAGTGACCTTTGACCTTGTGACCCTAAAATCAATAGGGATCTTCTACCTAATATGGACAATCATCCTATGAAGTTTGAACACTGTCGGCAAAATGGAACTTAAGTTATGCTCGGAAACTGTTTTCAGTTTTAAGGTCATAGTGACCTTGACCTTTGACCTTGTGACCCCAAAATCAATAGGGATCTTCTACCCAATATGGACAATCATCCTATGAAGTTTGAATACTTAGGGCCAAATGGAACTTAAGTTATGCTCCGAAAACCAAATTGCTTACGGACGGACTGACGGACGTACGAACAAACAGACGTACGGACTGACGCCAGGGGGTATAATTATATGCCCGAATTCTTTCGGGCATATAAAAACAAACAAAGTTATAGCCAGTTGCAGAAAAAACCCAGAGAATTTCACTAATTTTTACAGATGGGTCAATTCAATGTAACATTTCATTAATTCAATATGCAAGTCTTCTTTTGTCCAAGAAGAAATCAATCAAAAAATTATGACAATTCAACCAAAATTAATCATTTGACCCTTATGCCCGATGGTCATGGTCATGTTAAAGCTCAAAGTCAAGGTCAGTTCAACCTTTTTGAAGGTATAATCCAAAAGGTTGTTTTTTCCAAGCATGAAAATTATCAATTTATTATTTACTATGTAATAGTCAAATACATAAAAAATCTGTGAAAAATTCATTAATTTCACCTTCAAGGTCAATGTCATAAATGAGCCATGGTCAATTTGAGTTTGATATACATAAAGGTCATTTCCTAAATAATGTTGTGTTTTAATATGAAGACAATCACTCATTAATAACAAAGTTATTGCCAAAAACAGCAAAAAAAAAAAAAATCAATAACTTTACCTTCAACATCAAAGTCATTTATGAGTGAATGTCTGTCTAGTTAACTTAAAGGTTTATTCTTAAAGATTGTTGTTCAAGTAAGAAGACAATTCATTCAAAAGTTAAAAAGATATACAGAAGCACAATATGAAATCAAGGGCCAGCGTAATGTGAACAATTTTGTCACCAAGGAAATTTTTGTGTTAAAAGAATTGTTTCAAAATTGAACCAGTGGTTAAAATGTTGTAAATCTGTTGTTATTTTCTAATTTTAGCACTCTGGCAGCCATTTTATAAAACAGTTCAGCCTGTCACTATTCTCAAACAAGGGTGCCATAGTCACAAAATACGCCCGTTTACGAAAGCTTTAGATGGAGATGGGGGCATTATGGATAAGTGTTATCCAGCAAGCAAGTTTTTATTCTTGGCACTGTGTTGTTAAATGAACCTTAAAACAAATCAGTAGGGAAGATATGCACAGGATGTGTGACCTTGACCTTGGTCGCAGGGACCTGAATTTTATGCACGGTACTCAGTCTCACAATGATGAACATTTGTGCCAAATTATATTGAAATCCCTCTATGCATGTAGAAGTTTTGCTCCAAACAAGCGTTTTTCTGTGACCTTCACCTTTGACCTAGAGACTTGGTTCATGTGCAGGGCACTACGTCTCATGGTGGTGAACAATTCTATAAAGTAACATTAAAATTCCTCCATGCATGTAGAAAATATGCTCCGGAGACATTCTGGATATTTAATCATCTCCAGTGACCTTGACCTTGCAAATATTAACCTTAATTAAATGTGTCACACCTGTAGTCATGGTAGTAACCATTTGTGCTTTTTATCTGAACTTTGACATTTATGTGTAACCTTGACTTTGGTCACAGGGATCTGATTTTGCATGTGACACTCAGCCTCACAATGGTGAACATTTGTTATATTGAAATCCCCCATGAATGTAGAAGTTTTGCTCTGGACAAGCGTTTTTCAATGAGCTCTAAGTGTGACCTTGACCTTTGACCTGGATCATGCATAGAGCAATACATATCATGGTGGTGAACATTTCCATAAAGTATTATAAAAATTCTTCCATACATGTAGGAGATATGCTCCAGAAAAAATCTGGATATTTTACCATCTTTAGTGACCTTGACCTTGCATATATTGACCTAAAGTACATGTGTCACAGCCGCAGTCATGATAGTGACCATTTGTGTTACAATCCCTCAATAAATGATGATTAAATCGTCCCTATACACATCTTCATATTTTTATCTAAACTTTGACCTCTATGTGTGAACTTGACCTTGGCTGCAGGGACCTGAATTTTGTGTGCGACACTCTGCCTCACAATGGTGAACATTTGTGCCAAGTTATATTGAAATCCCTCTATGCATGTGGAAGTTTTGCTCCGGACAAGCGTTTTTCAATGAGCTCTAAGTGTGACCTTGACCTTTTACCTAGAGACCTAGTTCATGTGCGTAACATGGCTTCTCATAATGGTGAACATTTCTATGAAATTTCATTAAAATCCCTCCATGCATGTAGGAGATATGCTCCAGACAAAATCTGAATATTTCATCATCTTTAGTGACCTTGACCTTGTATATATTGACCTAAATTATATGTATCACAGCCATAGTCTTGATAATGACAATTTGTGTTACAATCCCTCAATAAATGATGACTAAATGGTCCATATACACATCTTCATATTTTTATCTGAACTTTGACCTCTATTTGTGACCTTGACCTTGGCCGCAAGGACCTGAATATTGCGCGCAACACTCCGCCTTACAATGGTGAACATTTGTGCCAAGTAATATTGAAATCCCTCTATACATGTGGAAGTTTCGCTCTGGCCAAGCATTTTTCAATGAGCTCTAAGTGTGACCTTGACCTTTGACCTAGAGACCTGATTCATTTGCGCGACACTGCTCCTCATAGTGGTGAACATTTCTATGAAGTTTCATTAAAATCCCTCCAAACATGTAGGAGATATGCACTGGACAAAATTGGATGCCGCCCGCCCGCCAGGGGCGTTCCCATAATACGTCCCGTTTTCCGAACGGGTGTATAAAAATAGAGAAAATCAAAATATCACAAACAATATTAATCAATAGTACATATAAGAAAACTCAATGACCCCTGGTGCCAAGCCAATTTTGGAGCTAGGGGTTTCATTTGATCAAACTTGGTAGGCATCCACTAGAAAGTGTTTAAGGCCAAATATCTAAACTTTATCTCTATTGGATTTTCACAAGAAGATTTTTCTTTAGGTTTTACTGTATACATTTATGGAAAATCAATGACCCCTGGGGTGGGGCCAATTTTGACCCAAGGGGTTCTATTTGAACAATCATGGTAGAAATCCACTAGAAGATGTTTTATTCCAAATATCTAAGCTCTAGCTTTTTTTGATTGTCACAAGAAGATCTTTTAAGTGTATTCTTTCAGTTGCCATGTCAACCAGAGTTCTTAATTGAATTTAATTCTTTGAACATTTTTGGTAGAGCTTTTTTGCAAGGAACATCCCAGCAAAGTTTAACAAATTTTGCAAAATGGTTTAGGAGCGGTTGTTTAAAGAAATTATTGACGTATGGATGCACAGACAGACACACAGACAATGGGCCATCACAGAAGCTCATTAGTTGAGGACAATTTGTCCTCAGGTGAACTTCAAAAAAATTGTCAGTTTTTTAATGAAACTAAAATTATCTTCATATTGTGGCAACTTATAGAGTGTATGGTTTTAATCATTACAAGTATATTTTCACCATAAACCTCCAAATTAATTAGAGAAACAAAATAAATCAGCACATAACATTACATGGAAGTAATTTATAGAAACCCTTAAAAGATTATTTTTGTACATGTACTTATGTTTTAAGGTCTTGCTCAGGAATCATGATACTAAAAAACATAGCTATCACTTGATATCAACTACATTGAGATAATTTAAAGATCTAAGTGAATAAAACAAAACATGCAGCATGTCAATAATAATACAAATATATTTTTTATTCTGTGGCAGCATCCTACAAAATGCTTCCCCTCTTCAAGATATGTCTTCATATAAAACAATCTTTTAATAAAACAGAAAAGTGTTAACTAACTTATCCACAGTCTGAACTGCCTTTGACTTGCCTTTGCCTTCATAATAGAATTTAAATTTTAATCCCATTAAATTATTGACATTCTTGTTATTCAAACTGATTATTGATTTCCTTACCATTTCTATTTTGTAATGTATGATCAAAAGTTGGTCCTGTGTTGAGTGAACCAGTACTGCCCACTTTTGGTGTCCAGTTGAACTGGTCAGAGGTGTCCTGAGTCCAACTACATATTGGTTGTTGCTGATTCTCAAATGTACAATCATATGGAGTAGGTGCTAAAAATATCAATAAAACCCTTAAAAGATAGAATACAGAAGATTTATGTAATTCCTTAAGATTCCTGTATCATCTAAAAATCTAAAAGAGATTCGCAAGCTGTGTAAACAAATAATATAAAGGTGATAATTTCATTAAACTAAGTTTTTGTTGATAGCAATTTCACCCCCAAGCACTAGCCTATGTATTATCAGCATAGAATATAAAGATTGGGTGAATGCACCTGTCACCTTGACTACAAAATCCCTGCAAAAGGAGCAGAATAAGAACTTTCCCTCCATCTCTGCACTAGGTCAATTGGCTTAAAACTTGCCAGGGAAATTTCCAACTTAAAGTGATAGGGGCTTTTCCAAATTTCCCTATTGCCCAGGTTGTCCCACAATCTTTGCAAACAATTAGAATTTTTCAATAATTTACCTTATAACCTTATCACACTGACAAGTTAAAAAATGCTTCAGATAAAAACAGACAAGTGAGACAAAATTAGATATATTGCTGGCCCTGAACATTGAATATATTCAGAAAATATTGCATGCTCAATGAAGGTAAAAAAGCATACTAAGATGACTTACGGTATGTGGGTGTTGGTAGAGTACTGAATGTAGGTGATGGGAATGTTGGTATCACTCCATTACATATGCCAGGTGTGAAAATAACATCATCAATAGCAATATTTCCTTGAATTCCTTTACCAATTTGTCCATCAAATGTTACCTATATAAAACAACAACAAAAATGCTACCTAAATAAAACGATATCAAACAATAAAAAAATGTAAAACAAAAATATAAAACATGCTTTGATTTAGGACATTGAATCTTATAGTTATTTATCTCTCATAACTATAAGATTCAATGTCCTAAATCAATTGTCAAATAGAAATTTTTGTGGATAATACCAGTGACCAATATGATTATTATTCATAATCTAATGCTCTCCCAATTAGTAACCATAAATGTGAGAGACAAATAGTATTTTTAACATCATCATGTTTCATTGCATTGTTATAAGTAAAAAAATATAATTCTCTTAGATCCCTTTTCATTAACCAAAAAGACCCCCACCCCAAAGAAGAAGAACAACAACAAAAGAAAAACATCATATAAACAAAGTTATAGTACAATTCTGGGCTCCAGTCTAAAAGTAAACTGTAAAGATATTCACTCAGAAACATAAGTACATGTATGTTTTTACCTGCCAGGTAATGTTGCTAGTTATATTAATCTGAACATTTCTCCAACTACTGCCTTGGTTACCAGACACTGACCAGAGAAGAGATGTGATATTTTTTGTTGGTTGATACAGTCTCAATGTTCCAACATCTTAAAATAAACATAAAAGTCATGTTGAATATACATAAATGTAAGCATAATGTTATTCAAAAGCATAAATTTTCATCCCAAAAGCACTTGGACCAAGCGTTCTTGAGCTTCTTGACCAATAACCAAGGTTACACTCAATTAAAACAGAAAGGATTCTTGCATTAAAGACTAATAGTAATTATAGGGACCTTTAACTACAAATAATTGTGACTAAGAGAACATTTCATTGCCTAATCCTCTCTAAAATAATTACTTATTTTGACTAAAACTGAAATACATTAAAAATCAAAATTGTTACCTTGTCCATACATGAAGTACCAGAATGACATGCAGGTTGCTTTTGTCTTTAGGAAGTATTGACTATAGAACCATGCCCTCTGTCCAGCATTTCTTCCAAGAGCAGATATATACATATAGAATCCTGTACAACAAACAATAATAAGATCGTTACCATTGTTTTTTAAAACATATTTATTATTCTTTGTATTATACATTCCATGTTTTTATATTACTATGAATACACTTTATGTGGATCATCAAAAATATTAATTTTTAGTCATTTATCAATTGATTCACAAAATAGGTAACAAAATAGAGAACATATTAAAAAAAATAGGAACTTGTAGGTTTAGGTCTAAAGAGTCACTTAATGGACAGAAGTGGTAAATGCAAGCTACCGACCCTACCTCCCAATACTTGTAAATTTGTATTCAATTAAAAAATAAACAGTAAAAGCCTATAATACTGACAATGCATTCCATTCATTAAATATGCATGTACATTAATGCAGTAGGGAACAAACAAATCATTAAAAAATCTATAATTAAAACTAAAAGATAAGTATTTCATACAATTATATAATCATATCAATTGCCAACAGTAAAACCTATCATTACCTGCATCTGAATTTGTTGTGTGGTCAACAGAGGGACCAGTACCACGTGTTAGTGTTGAGCCTGCACTTCTTAACCAATCAAAATTGTCAGCATTTGTGTTAGTCCATCCACATGTGTCAATTTCAAAGTTACAATTACCAATGGGTGGGCACTTTCCAGGAAGTACCTGAACATCATCAATAGCAATATCACCCTGGTAACCATTTCCAACTGTGCCCTCGAATATTAGCTAAAAAAAGATAAAATATTGCAAAACATGGATCACCTATCAAATCATGTAACTGACCTTCAATTATAACAAATTTGGAAGACATAAATTAGGTTTCAGGTGAATACCATCAGTAGTTTTCTAGTTTAAGGTTGCACCAGAATTTTTTTAAGTTCATAAAGGGCCATTAATCTGACAAATTATATGGCAAAGTTATGAACCTCGGATATTGAACTCCAATTATGTCCAGAGAGCATGTGAATATCATCAGAGTTGTTTGCAAAACTTTAACCATGTGTTTTTAAGTTAACAAAGGGCTATAACTTACTAAAATCCATGTAAGAGCTATGGCCATGAAATTTAACCTCAAATTATGAATACAAAAACATGTATTTAGATTCAAGTGAATAACTTCCATAGCTTTGAAGATTGATGTTGCATGCAAAACTGTAACCAGGAATTATCAAGTTTACAAGGGGGCAGGATTCCATCAAAATCTATACTAGAATTATGGGCCTTGGAAAATAATCCCCTATCATGATCTATCATGATCTCAAAGATATGTGTGAATTTTCCAGCAAATATCTTTAATGGTTAATGAGATATGATGTTGTACACGAAATTACACATAAAGCTTTACAAGTGTTATAGTGGGGCGGGAAATTGAGAAAACAGTGCAAATGGTGATACAAGCATGAAACTTTCAGGAAATCATCTTTAGACCACATAGTTTTCAAAAGTGAAGTGGGCCCAAAAATATCTCTGCTCATTCAAGATTGCCAACATTTTCAAAATGGCCGCCATATAAATTTGACGTACATAAACAACTCATTCAGTCAAAATTTTTGTAAAGACCTGAAACTTACACCGAAGCATGTATAAAGTTTCTCCTTTACAAAAATTTAAATTTTACAAACTTCCGCGTTTGAACCTCTTCTCAATCCAAGATGGCGTCCAATATGGCCGCCGATTTTACGCAAAACTATTATATAATTTCTATAGTATAATTTGTAGCACAAATTATGTTTATTTCGATAAAAAAAGTGTTTAAACATATCAAAAATAATCAAATCATGTGTTAATAATAATGAAAATAAAGTTTTTTAAGTTTATGTCTAAAATATCTTTAAAGATATCAAGAAAAAAATCTCATTTTTTTTTGCATATTTCTCTTAATTTAGTTTTCTAACTTTATATGCAAAATTAAAAAAAATACTTTATATTTCTTATTTGTAATTCAATTCAAAATAGGGTTTGTATATTTGTAAACATATGAGACAACCATAAAAACTGTAGGTTTTATGTTTTGTCAAAGTGGGTGGGGTAAATTTATCCTATAATTACAATAGAAAACCAACAAAATTTACACTGACCGTAAGTTTTTTCTAGCTTTTTCTCTTAATTATGATGCAAATGCTCCCTATTAAAAAGTATTCTTTATTGGAAGAGTGTATTTTTGTCTTTCTTTGGTTTATACAGAATTCATTTTAGTTTAATTGTGAGGGAAGCTATAAAATATATGTCTTTCTTTGGGTCAAGTAGGTGAGCTAAAATATCAATAAATGCACATACATTAATTAGTATACACTCAGTTATTAAATTTGGTTGCGTGACATTACTGGTTTCAATATCTTGATATTGTTTATTAATTGTTAATTGTAAAGATATATAAGAAGACAATAAACCAACAAACATGCTTTAAAGAGCAAACATGCACATGAATAAGGTTGTCCATTGACGCATATTATTAACTCCTTCACAATTTCATATTGAAAATATGAAAATGGCTTTAAAGCTAACTCAATAAGATAATAATTTTTGCATATATAAAAAAGGCTACTATCACATCATCTCATTCTATGTGTTGTGAAACAGATATATCAATGATATCACCTGACCTACATACAGTTTTTGATAATTTAAATAAAATAATTGTAATTCATAAATTATTTATATCTATTTTTTTTATTTCAATAACAGGGCAATGATGACCCTAAGTCACACACCATTGTTGGGAAAAGGTCACAATTCTTTTTAAACGTAGGTTTTTGGGTGTATCAATTTTGTTATAACATATATATGGTTTGTGAAATATTGTAAGGATGCTTTAAAAGAAACAACCTAGTATCAAGTTTCTAAGAATTGTTTCTCATGAGAGGACTTAAATAAGTATTAATATTCCTATATGAGTCCATATAAACTTAGTGGTGCATGATCATTTTGACCATCTTGTCCATGATTTTTTAAATATTTGTAGAGTATTACAAGGTTATGATGATACATAATTTATTCGGTTACTGTAGTTTTAGAGAATACAAATTTATTACAAAAGTCTGTGTAAAATAAGTGATATCCATTTCTTAACCATTTTAACTGCAGGACATCATAAAATTTTTATGCATTTAGTTTAATTCTAGAAGTTCTCTTATTGTGTTTTCCTACACAAGTCTATATACCCGGGTTGCTCTATGAGCAAGATTCATGACACAAGATGATGGCATACGCTTAGTATCTATGCTCTGTGCATTCTGCTTTTTGAGATGACTTTTTAAACATTTTGCTATGTAAAATCTATGTACACTAAGTGACGAACAGAGAGTTTTATGTAACTTTTAAAGAGGTCTTCTCTACTTGAGAATGTTACTGGAATGTTGAATATCTAAGTTCAAGGCATTGTAGTTCTCCTAAAGAGGACTTACATGTGATTTTCTATATAAGTCTTTCAAAACTAAGTGCCCCTCATGGCAGCCATTGACAGGCCTTTTAATCATGCTCCTGCAGTTTAAAATGGCTCCCTGGTATGTTACTAATGTTTGCATAGACTTAAAACTGTCTTAAAAATCTTCTCCAAAACTAAAGTTCCCAGAGCAGAAATTTTTTTTATGAAAATTCACTCTGTGATACTCAATAAAAGTTTTGAATTATTGGCATAGGACCAAATCACTAAGTTCATATGGACTCATATAGAAATATAATTATATGAGTCTTTTTGTGTGAAACAGTTCCTATGAGTACCTAGATATTGGGCATGTTTCCTTTGAAGCGAACCTTCACAAATAGTTCATAAATCATAACTGTATGTGGTGAAAAAAATTGATTCTCCTAACATGATCTTATCTTACTTCTGTTTTAAAGCGTTATGGCAATTTCCATGCAGTGGATCTAAGGTGAGTGGTCAAGAATTGTTTAATGGGTAATATGAAATTTGAATAATCTTTGACAGACATTTAGTTTATATTTCAAATCATCAGCAAATATATGTGGGTCAAACTAATTTCACTACACATAGATCATATGATGTATTAGTCTTAATTTTACTTTGTATCTTTTGAAAATACCATGTCTAGATATGTTATTCATACATGCCATAACGTCCCGGATGCCCGGGATTGTCCCGAAAATCGTATGTCTGTCCCGGAGATGTCCCTGGCATCGATTTGATCCCGGAAAAAAAAATCAGGATATTTTGCAAAATGTTCATAAATTTTCTTAAATCAAATCTCGCACATTTCACCTCTCGATCGTAAAACATATTCTGACCTGGTACACATAATACACAGGAACGTTGACACTTACAAGTTTACAATATACAGCCCCCCAATTATCGACTGTCGATTCCCCTTTCTTCATGCATCGGCAATTAACGTTCTCTGTTGAATTCGGCAGCGTTTAATGGCCGGGTTAATTAATGGTTTACGGCCCTTAACAATAATCGTTAATCCCCGATAGATCAATTGCTAACTTGCCGAAAGTCTAATTATTACCACGGATTTAAATTGTCAATTAAAGTCCGTGTTATTACAAACAATGTAAATATATCTATCAAATGAAAAATTAAAGGTGTCAAATGAATCACCTTGCAGTGTTTGTTTTTATGACTGGAAGAATTGCATTACGTGACATGTAGTAATTATCACGACTTTAAGATATAACGGGTGAACAACATGGCTGCGCCCATTCGGCTTTTAGGGAATAATAAATGAAATAATGAAATACTATGAAATGATAAATATGTCGACCTAAAAGACTACTTCTAAAACTAGTAAGTTAACTGTTTATCATTAAAAATTATATCTTTACAATTAGACAATAAAGCAAACTTACACATCTTATTGCCTGTGTGATTTAAAGTTGTCTCTTTTCGTAAAGCTGTAAATAGGCATGTATTGTTATTAATATAAACAGCTAATTTACACATTATACATAATTACAGTCTAAAGTAGAATAATTTGAATCGATATTTAACAACTTCAGTAAGACATTTATATCTATGCAAACAAATTTACAATACTGTTCCATAATGTGTGATTTAAAGCATTTCTACTTCGAAGAAACGTAAATAATTATTCAATAAAAGACATATTTAACAGCATGTTTTTAAGATTTGTTACGTGCAATAACAAAATAAAATATAAACAACTTACTATCTTGCATTTTTGTTTCTAATTATGCATTTATTAACCCATCAAACTCCATATTTTAAGTATATTCAAAATATAGAAAACCTTAAATTAACTTATATCTTTACAAATAAACTTCATAGTGTTAATTAAATATCAAATACACTATTAGAAACTAAGTAACGTTTAAGTTTTGTACAAAGACCTATTAGAAAACCATGTTAGAGAAATATGCAAATATTGGCACTTTTTCTTTAATATTTTTAGCGATACTTTTTGGATGAATAACTTAAAAGCTTGACTTACAATGTGGTTTACATAAAATTTGATAATTTTTTATATGTTTATACATTTTTTATCGAAATATGCATAATTTGTTATACAAATTATATGACAAAAGAGATATATCAGTTTTGCATAAAATCGGCGGCCATATTGGACGCCATCTTGAATTCTGAAGAGGTATGAACGCTGATTTTGTTCACGATTTGAATTTTTGTAAAGGAGAAACTTTATACATGCTTCGGTGTAAGTTTCAGGTCTGTACAAAAATTTCACTGAATGAGCTTATATGTATGTCAAATTTATATGGCGGCCATTTTGAAAATGGCGGCCATCTTGTATAAGCAGAGATATTTTTGGGCCCACTTCATTTTTGGAATCTCTATAGTCTAAAGATGATTTCCTGAAAGTTTCATGCTTGTATCACAATTTGCACTATTTTGACAGGAGAGACCTTATTTCCCGCTCCACTATTATGCTGATGCTCGGTTGAGACTAGGATAGCACCACTATTCATTGAATTATCCAGCTAAAAATAGTTAAATTATGCTCATTCCTTTTTTTCATTGTCAAGTTGAGCTGATTTGACTTTATATCTAAATGTAGATAAAACACTGGCAAAAGACTCAAACTTTTTTGTCTCACCTGAAATTTTGAGCTGATTGGTCTCAAAGTAAGAGCTGAGTGTATCCACAGGTTCACTTGATTACTTTTTCGTTGGAACACCATCTTTTTTTGGGGGCCATCTTGTAAATACACCGTGAGGTTGCCGACATTTGTTCCATACATGTGATACCAGAAGGTGAAACAGGAAGATCCCTGGCTATTAGAGAACTGTGGGGTTGTTATCCTGGCAAGATCATACATCCTCCTTGGAGATGAGGACTCAATGTACAGGAAGTAACCTACAGAGTTAAAATATTCAACTTTAAAAAAAATTTAATTTGCTTTCTTCCTATGATTTTACATGGATATGATTAAGAAACAATGCTACTGTTTATGTCTTATTGCTTTTTTAGTTTTATGATTAGAAAAGATTATTAGAGAATGATGACATACCTAAAATGTACTTGTGTGCAGTACTGGTACATATGGGTAAAATAATAACCTTTATACAAGCTGGTAGCTAACCGGCATAAAAGAATTTAAAGTTCAAATTGAGAAGTAAAAAAAGTAAACAACTTTATTGCCACAGATATTTGAATAATTCATAATAAAGTAAACAAAGAAGTAATAAATAATTTGTAAATGTTACCATATGGACTGGATGTGGTATGATCTACTGATGGTCCAGTGTTTTTGGAATCAGTACCATTCCTTCGACGTAACCAATCAAACTGGTCATTTGTATCCTGTATCCAGTCGCATAAGTCTGCCTCAAAATCGCAAATTGCTGAAATATAACAATTTCTCATTTAACTAACAATCCTATCTATGTTTTCTGGACACTGGTCCCTTAACAAATTGTCTAAATGCTGTTCTAGCCCAAAACATAAACATGCCAGTAGCAATCAATAAGGAATCTTGATACAAGTGATCCAAAATTTATCAATATCTTTTTTTTTTCATACAAACATTTCAAAATTTGTTTTTAAAAGAGAAAATAAACAAAAAATGTGTTCACAACTTACGAGATGGTGGACATTTTTCTTGTATTAACGAGATATCATCCAGTGCAATATCTCCTTGCCAACTAAATCCTACAATTCCTTCAAACAGAATCTCATATGGTACCAGGCTTTTAATGTTTCTAAGTCCATTCCTCCAAACATTTCCTTGTGTCCTTGACCTTGACCATATCATTGTCTTGTTCCCTCCTTGGGTCTTCAGATATACATTCAGTGTACTGACATGGGCACCAAACATGTGGTACCAGAAAGATAAACACTGGCCACCAGGGAGAGTGGCTGCTTGAATACCAGAGGTTATTACTGCTCTTTCACCAATATGACGTGGAGATGAAGTTTCCATATAGATATAAGCTCCTATATGAAAAATTGATAGTCTTGTATATTAAAACAATTCAACTCTTCATATAGCTAGTACAAACTTCCAAAAATGGCAGAATTTAACTTATATTTGAAAAAATAAAAAGAACAAATAAATAAAAAAAAAAACAGCATGATCCCTGAATGCTTCTGACCATGTCATTACTTAGGTTTTATTAGGAATTTGAAGTGGTGGAAAATGACAAATTTATCTAAAGATTTTAATATATTCTTCAATATAAGTAACTTTTTATTATTAGACAATTGCCTAACATATAGATTGACAGTTCAGTTCCAGAAATTTTATTAAATAAAATGATAATCATGCTAACTTTGCAATAAGCGGGACTGTCTGTGCCACTAGCATAAAGCTTACCTAGCCTATTCGGCAAACCTGACCGAGTTATATACCGCTAACTGATCAATTTTAGTATTTTGAAATTAGTAATTCCAGAAACAAACACTGGACTGCTCCAAAATTCCTTAATGTAACAAATTCAGACAAGACTAGAAATGTGTCATCATGCCACGGATGCCCCCGCATGCAGCCAAAATTTCAGATGGTGCATTAATTATTTTTTTCATTTTAAGTTCAAAGCCCTTAAAACTTTTCAATGTTAACACAAACCATTTTCATACAATGTTCAAGGCACTGAAATTATTCAGTCTAAACCTTTTAAAAATAGCATATTGCATATTTGTAGCATATTTGTAGCCAAAATAATGGCTAAAAGTAAGAGTGCTGAAACTGAAAGTTCAAAATTTTTCCAACATTCAGGAAAGATAAGTTTGTCTTAAATCATTGAACTACAACCAAATTCAAACTTAAACTGCTTATTCCTAAGATGTATCTATATTATTTTCAAAGTGAAAGGGACATAACTTTGCCAAAAAATCATCAAACCATGACCAAATTCCAACTTGACCTGCCCATTCGTTTGACATATCCATATGTCAAATTTCAGTTGAATATGTAACACTGTTGGGTAGATAATGAACAGAAACTGTAAATTTCATATTATTTTCAAAGTAAAAGGGGCATAACTCTGCCAAAAATCATTGAACCATGACCAAACTCGAACTTGGCCTGGGCATTCCAAAAACATATCCATATGTCAAATTTGAGTTGAATGTGTTGCACCATTGGGGAGATAATAAACGGAAAATGAAAATTTCATATTACTTTCAAAGTGAAAGGGGCATAACTCTGACAATAATCATTGAACCATGACCAAATTTGAACTTGACCTGCACATTCCTTTGACGCATCCATATGTCAAGTTTGAGTTGAATGTGTTGTACCGTTGGGGAGATAATGAACGGAAACTGAAAATTTCATATTATTTTCAAAGTAAAAGGGGCATAACTCTGCCAAAAATCATCGAACCATGACCAAATTCGAACTTGACCTGTATTTTTTCATGACATATTCATATGTCAAGTTTGAGTTAAATGTGTTGTACCATTGGGGAGATAATGAATGGAAACTGAAATTTCATATTATTTTCAAAGTAAAAGGGGCATAACTCTGCCAAAAATCATCGAACCATAACCAAATTCGAACTTGACCTGTATTTTCTCATGACATATCCATATGTCAAATTTGAGTTGAATGTGTGCCACCGTTCTTAAGGACGGAATGACGGAACAGGGTAACACTATATGCCCCGGCCATTACATGGCGGGGGCATAAAAATATGCTGAATTTGGGTTTATATCTTTTAATTTCTGTATCATTTTACTGTTATGATATAATGGGAGAAATACAAGAAATGCAAATACCCATTCCTGTTGTGTGGTCTCTATCTGGACCAGTACCAACTGTTGGTGTGCTTGTATTGGTCCATGTCCAATCAAAATCATCAGTGGTAACTTGACGGAAATTACAGAATCCATTCTCAAAGGTGCAGTTGACAGCTTTAAAAAGAACAAAAGAAGACATTGTAAAATATAAACAAATATGTCATATACATGTATGCATAATGTAATAGTCCCATAGCTCAACCATCCCTTAAAATAATGACTCCCGCCCGCACAAATTTTTTTTATTGGGGAAAAAAAAAAAAACCAAGGTGGGTTCCCCCTCCACCCGTTTCAATTACTACCCTCACTTTTTAAAAGACGAATCTTTTCGGGGGAGCCTTTTCTCCATAAGGTTAGTTATAAAGCTAGTCCTTTTTTAGTCAACAACAACAACATAGAAATATTACATATCAAATTCTTAACTAAAAAGCCTTGTAATATAAGAGTAAATATTTAGTTAAAGAATGGTTATTTCACAGAAAGTCTTTTTTTTTTAAATTGTTTAAAAAAGAACTTGAAGTATTGTAAATATACTTTCATTATACAGGTAATTAAAGACCTGTAAAGTAATATACATACTTGTATTTTTGTCAACAACTGTTGCACCACAGTTTATAAATGTGACGTCATCGAAGGCCATATCTGACTGGGGAACACCAGACAAAATTGACCTGCTAGGTAAAGCTTCAAATTGTACCTGTGAAAGACAAATGTTCCATTGTATTGTTTTAATTTCGTTTCTTTTCTTTTATTGCAAACCTTAAGTTAACTCAACCATTTACTTTGTCATATGGCTAGTGATATTTTTGATATTGACCCTGTTTAGAGAAGTGGTTAACGTTACTGACAGTAAACAACTCTTCATTATCAGTTTAGTAAGGGAAATATCAAAGTGTAACAATTGCCCGTAAAATTTTATGGTCTCCTTAAACTAACTTAGTTGTGCTACTCAGATACCTGTCTTAGTAGTTTTGATAACTCAATGTTTTAATATTTGTATAGAGCTGAATGTATTATAATGTATTATAGCCATCAATTGTTGGCTTGGTGATGAACACTGGGTATATTAACATTTATAACTTTGACATATTAACTGCAACTATTTTGAAACAAATCATTGAATAATTTTCGTTTTCTTTCTTCAGATATGAGTTTTATACAAATCCAAAATATCAAATTTAACAACAAATCTAACCTTATATCCAGCAGGCAGTTGTCCTATATCTACAACAGCTTTCTTCCATGAGTTGCCTTGGTTACCTGTCATACTCCAAATATATGTCTTATCTGTTGTTCTGTTTGCATTCTGTACCAGGACTCGCATATTTCCTGCAGGTAAATATTTATTTATATATATAGTAACTATACAACAAATATTAAAATATATCAAGATAAAAAAGAATAACATCCTTCGGGATCTCTAACTAAAATTCTATTATAGAAAGTATTAAAGGTTTTAAGGTGCTACATTTAGAGCACTTTTTCTACACATACATATCTACGCATATATATACCTGTTGAATATAGATAAATAGTTATCATTTTAAAAGCTTTCAATAGCTATCTTTGACAGCTTAGTGGCATGGCCCCTTAGTTAACATGTCAGACTAGTAATCTAAGGATTGCTGGCCGTGTTTGTTCAAACTGTTTCAGGGGCAAGCTGTTGTTTCTTTGAGCAAGAAACTACACTTACTGCTTATAACTTTTTTGTACCAGGAACAACCCAGAGTACATCTATAATCATATAGCTTTTGACAGAAGGGCACTAAAATAAATCCTGCATAAACTCATTCAAATCTACTACAGACTTTGTGCTTCATTGCTAGCTATAATCAACAGTCCTTTTCTTTATACCAGAGGTTACTAAAACACAGCTTCATATAAAAAAGAAAAATCTCAGAATTATCATCAAGTAATACTGACATTTTATGTTTCAATTTAATCAAGTAAGCATACCTGCATTAATTCCATACATGTGATAGAAGAACTGAATTTGACAGCTGGGTCCAGTACGTCCCAGTACTGGTGTCTCAATGTGAGCTCTAGAGTAGAACTGACCAGTTGATCCCTCCACAAGTATGTAATGACCTGCAGAATTACAATATTTTTTTACAGCCATTTTATTTTGTAAATGGGTATAAGCAATATATTAATCACTTTGATTTTAAATACACAATATTTTTTTAAACATTTGACAATGAGGATCGAGTGTTAAGTTTCAGAGGTATTTTCATAATAGTCTTCATACAACTTTGATATAAACTGTTCGTTACACATACCTTAATTATGCTGGATTTTGAATTTATTTTATTGAAATATATAAAACATTGTTATAAGTTACATGATAATTATCTAATTATCAATAAATCTTTTCCAAAATAACAATATAATGACATTCCTCTTTGAACTTCATTAAATATGTTTGTATCAGTACATATTTTTCTATATAAAATTTGATGTACTTCTTGAGATTAAAAAAAATAATCTGTTCTGTGTAAAACCTTAAATATTCATGTTTGTATGTGTGTAACAAATTGCTATTTTTAGGGTTTATCGTTATTTTCCAAGAAAGACAACTCTGTTGATCTTGTTTGATTTTAATCTTTACTTTGTGTCATATTATGTCCCTTTGACCAAATCTGCTATCTTTATAACTAGCAAATGAATAAAATATATATAGAGATACAAGAAGTGATACATTAACAAGGTGCAGTTATAAAACATAATGAGATTGATTATACAGACAAACCTGATGCTGAATTAGTGGTATGATCTGTCCTTGGTCCACCAGATCCAGGGGAGGATCCATTAAAGAGATGGAAGTTATAGCGACCTGAGCTTACATCAGTCCATCCACATTGACCTCTCTCAAAGTTACATGTACCACACATGCTCTCATCTGAACCATCCGCACACTGGGAGACAAAATCACACACTTGACTCTTAGGGATACATCCTCCAATCTTGCATGCAAAACTTGATGGGCATGGGCTTGGGGAGGTTGGTGGACCTGGGGTACCAGTTGGTAAAGGAGCTGAAATAGATAGTACAATTGAAATATGGGCATTGAATAATCAGAAAAAATTAATTTTTCTTTATACATTAATATATACTACCTCGATATTATGCAGTTGCATCATGTGGCAAAACAATACTTTATTACAAACTCAGATATTGAAAAAATGATCATACAAGTTTTACACAGTAAAAGAATGTAATGCTTTTTTCTAACTTCTTAGATAAGCGGTATAGTAAAATCTAATTCCGCATATTAAATGAATTTTGTTTGTTTACTTATAGTACAGAATACAAGTGAGTAACCTGTTGCATATTTGCATCCTGATGTCATAGAAACATCATCTATAGCAATATCACTCTGGTAACCATTTCCAATGAACACCCTCAATAACAACCTGTACAAGTAAAAATTTTACATCATTTTACAGGATTGAAATTTTTTTAGTGACATGAATTTCCATAAATGCATGTTGTAACTGTAATAAAATTAGAAATATGTTTATATAGGTCATCGATGCCCCCTTATTCCACTATTATGTTAGTCTATGGACAGATGGAGTGTCAGCCAGATGGATGGACAAAAGTTAACCTATATGCCCCTAATAGAAGTATAACCAACACTAGAAACAATAATTAGCTTGTAACTTCAATTTTAAACAAAAAAAGGAGGAACTGCAGGACGAGAATTCATATACTTGTATAATGTAAAGGTAACAATTCAATTTTTTATTGAATACCAGTTGAACAATACTACAATTTTTGCATTTTATGAGCAATGATGTTTACCTGGAATGGTTGGGATTCAAACATTTGGATGTCTACACGTTCATAGAAGTCACCAACTTGACCTATCTTCTGCCATTTTTGTTTAAGTGGTGCTAAAACAGCATTTCTTGTGTACACATTCATGAACCTATATTCTTACCCCACATGTGATAGAACATTCGGAACTGAAATCAAAAATTGAGCTCATAGTCAAGTCTACATCAAATACTGGTAATTTGAGGACATTTTTTGCAATGTTAACTAGTGATTACTACATGGATGTTTTTTTGTTTTTTTTATGTTTGGGTTTTACGTCACACCAACACAGTAAAGGTCATTTGGCGACGCTCCAGCTTTACTGATGGAGGAAGACCTCAGGTGCCCTTCCGTGCATTATTTCAGGCACGAAAGGGCACCTGAGTAGAATCACCGACTTTCTGTAAGCTAGCTGGATAGCTTCCTCACATGAAGGAATCCAAAGTCCCTGTTGGGATTCGAACCAACAGCGGTGAGGGGCAAGTGGTTTGAAGTCAACGACCTAAACCCATCGACCATGGATGGATGTAGCTGGTGCAATATAACCTGCTAGCTAGAGGAGAGATTTATGTAAAACAACCTTTCATACATCATCATTCAACCTGTAATGAATTTACAATTACTGCAATAAATAAAATATGGGGAGAAAATCATAAATTTGTACAAATATCTGGAAAACAGTGATCCCTCGGAAGAATTTAAAACAGCAAAATTACATGAAAATTGCAAGTCATGGATATGAAAATCAAAGTTACAAATATTCTGTACAATATGAAAACAATGTTAGTTATATACACAAGTTAATAAAAACTGAATACAACTTGGAAACAAAATTTCTAGACAATTTCAATACACAAAAGGAGATTCATTTGTAACAATTAATCAACAATATTCTTGCTAAATAAAATATCTTATTTTAGAACAATGTTAAACTGTAACTTACTGTACATGTTTGTGCAGCACCAGTGGTAGGCTGGAAGGTTCTACTGATAATTCTAGCTTTATCCCCTAGTTTCCTGGGAGCCGATGATTCCGTATACAAATAATGCCCTTAAATTTACATTATCACATGCATAAAGTGTATGAAATACATCTTAAAATATTTCACTAATCAGAAGTTTTGAGTATTTCTTTCACACAGATATGAATCAGTTATATTCAGAATATTGAGAAACTTTCAATTTTAAGCCGACTATTTAACAAGGAATTTGTGTAATAAGATTAATCTATGAAGAGTTCATAACCAGTAACTTACATGAGTAAAATCTAAAAAGGAAACAGTAAAATTTGTATTGCTTTTCGAGTTAATGTTATGTTGGTGGTACTGTCTTGTCCTGATTTGGAAATAGGGGAGACTTGCATTACTGTTTTTTTCAATTAACAATATAAAAAAAAAATCACTTAACAGAAAAATAGAAAATAGCTCTAAAGTTTTAAGTCCTGTAGTTGGTCACGCACAGGTCTGGCTGTAGTCTTGCCAGCAGTTTCTTGTCCCGTCAAAGTCATCTGTTGTATTCTGACTCCAGTCACACAGGCTTGTCTCAAAGTTACAACTAGCTGGATATGATCTAGAAAAAAATAGAAATAATGTCAAAAACTCAAACAACCTATTTCATTTTATTTGTTTTCTTTGTTGGATTGCATTGTATTGATTCATTAACTTAGTCATAATTGCAAGGGGGGTGTCATGAAACTTGATCTACTGAGCATTCTTGTGCCCTCCATATGTATTTTGATTTTCAAAATAATACTTGTCCTTATCTAAAATAAGGAAAATCTTGAGCAAAATACAACTGGTACAATTTTGTTCTTTCCAGCCCCTTGTTTGGTGGAGGTAATAATGATGGTAAATATTCAAGAAAACAGCCCATTGTTTGGTGGAGGTAATAATGATGGTAAATATTCAAGAAAACAGCCCCTTGTTTGGTGGAGGTAATAATGATGGTAAATATTCAAGAAAACAGCCCCTTGTTTGGTGGAGGTACAGTCAAGACATTCATTTAGAAAATTGAAAATGTCTTATAAATAATTATTTAAATTGTAAAAAAGAATTAAGCAGGTCTGAATGTAAACTCTGATAACAATGTAAAATAAATAACAGATATAAGTTATGAGTGAATACGGAATTATTATCACCAAAACAATCATAAACTAAGACAACAACTTACTGCAGACACTGCTAGCTTCATCACTGTTATCCCCACAGTCATCACTAAAGTCACATACACTTGTCTTAGCAACACATGACCCTCTTTGACAACGGAACTGAGAGTTCAAACATGATGGCTTCACAGCTGTAAGAAAACATAATCATCATAATGACAACATATATGATAATTTCAACAAATATTTTTTTTCAGACTGCGCTTCATATTTTGAAAAAAATTTTTTTTGATAAATCTAGAATATTGATATTCATCATTATTTCAACAAAGCTTACACTATATTACAAAGGCTTTAGAATAAGTTATTAAGACACAGAATAATATCAATTTGTATGCTTAAACAGTTTAGTTAAAAATAGATCACAACGGTTATGGCATTCTGATGACGGAAATTCAAACATATACAAAAACAAAATTACATTTTGACAGATAAAAGTGTTTTAACAAGTTTAGGCATGACTCATATATTCAGTAAAGCATAGAATATTTTATACCAAGAAAGACTTACGTGGGAAGTTACAGTTGACAAGTTGAACATCATCTACAGCAATATCACCTTGTACGCTGAACGATCTATGACCTTGTATTACTATCTGTTATATAGAAAATAATATATGGAAATATAAAAGGCCTGGCTTGGATATGATGATGGCCCATCATTTTTTACTTTATTTATATCTATAAAGCAAATATCAATAAAATAAGTTTAATGAAAGGATGAAATATTATTGATTTGATGTTATGTCCTCCAGGTTAACGAAATAAAAATGTTATTGTGTATATGCAAGAATTGCCACTTACAGAAACTGGTTGAACCACGTTCTCTATGTACACGTCTTCAGGGAATGATACTTGTAGATTTTTATATAGTAGCACAGATGGAGGACATGTTATAAATCTGCAGTGTAGGTATTATAATACTGTGTTAGTACATGACTTACTTGGAATGGTTTAGAAATTCTGCCAATATCTACAGTAGAAAGGACCCATTTGTTGCCTGCTGGTTTATTCAGATATCTTATAATAGTGTCTTTTCCACTTTCACGAATACCAACTTGTAAGTAACCAATTCCTGAAAAAAATTAAATGAATTATTCAATCAACTCTTTATAAACTTTTTTTTTCTTCTTATCTTTTAAATTAACAACCACAACAAAACACACACACACAAATTGAAAAACAACAGTTGTCCAAAAAGTAATGAGATATCATTAGCAGGTAACAAATTTCAGAAAATATTTATCTCAGACATGATATCTGCAGAAACATGAATCAATGTGCATAAATATCTAAAATGAAAAAATATCATAAAATCCAAAATAAGCAAGGTAATGACTGCACATGTATTCCTAATAAGCCTGGTTTCACTTTGATTTTTACTCATTTTATAAATTGCTGGGAAAAAATTGTGTGTATTAGAGGAAGAAAATTTTTCACTGAATCTCACCTGATCCCATCATATGATAATAGAACTGTATTTGGCAGGTTGAGCTGCATGCTTGTAGAGTTGGTCCCACAGCCTCAGCAACTGTTCCAAATGAATGATCCAGTTGACCCACTTATATACACATAATGGGGCCAATTTTTACCCAAGGGCTTTTATTTGTTTATTTGAACAGACTTGGTAGACACCCATAAGAAGATGTTTCATGCTAAACATCTAAGTTCTAGCTCATTGGCTTTTTTAAAAGAAGATTTTTAAAGTTTTTACTATACACATATAGTTAAAAACAATGTCACCCCTGGGGCAGGGCCAGTTTTGACCCCAGGGCGTTTATTTTAACAAACTTTGTAGATATTTACTTAAAGATGTTTCATGCTTAATATCTAAACTCTAGCTATTTGGGTTTTTCCAAAAAAGATTTTTATGTTTTTGCTATTACACATATAAGGAAAATCAATGACCCCCCCCCCACCCCCGGGCCGGGCCAGTTTTGATCCTAGGGCTTTTATTTGAACATACTTGGTAAACACCCATTAGAACATGTTTCATGCTAAATATCTCAGCTCTAGCTCTTCGAGTTCTTTAAAAGAAGATTTTTTAAGTTTTTACTATATGCATATTGGGAAAAATCAATGACCCCCTGGGGCGGGGCCAATTTTGACCCCAGAGCTTTTATCTGAACAAACTTGGTAGACACTCATCAGAAGATGTTTCATGCTAAATATCTTAGCTCTAGCTCTTTGGGTTCTTTAAAAGAAGATTTTTTTTAAGTTTTTACTATATGCATATAGGGAAAATCTATGACCCCCTGGGGCAGGGTCAATTTTGACCCCAGGGCTTTTATTTGAACAAACTTGGTAGACATTCACTAGAAGATGTTTCATGCCAAATAACTAAGCTCTAGCTCTTATAGTTCTTTAAAAGAAGATTTTTTAAGTTTTTTACCATATGCATATAGGGAAAATCAATGACCCCGGGGCGAGGCCAATTTTGACCCCAGGGCTTTAATTTGAACAAACTTGGTAGACACTAACTAGAAGATGTTTCACGCTTAATATCTTAGCTCTAGCTCTTTGGGTTCTTCAAAAGAAGATTTTGTAAGTTTTTTACTATATGCATATAGGGAAAATCAATGACCCCCTGGGGCGGGGCCAATTTTGACCCCAGGGCTTTTATTTGAACAAACTTGGTAGACATTCATTAGAACATGTTTCAAGCTAAATATCTTAGCTCTAGCTCTTTGGGTTCTTTAAAAGAAGATTTTGTAAGTTTTTACTATATGCATATAGGGAAAATCAATGACCCCCTGGGGCGGGGCAAATTTTGACCCCAGGGCTTTTATTTGAACAAAACTTGGTAGACTCTTACTAGAAGATGTTTCATGCCAAATATCTAAGCTCTAGCTCTTAGGGTTTTTTTAAAAGAAGATATTTAAAGTTTTTTCTTTCGGTTTGCCATGGCAACCAGAGTTCTGCATGGAATTAAATTCTTTGAACAATTTTTAAAGGTGACCA